GATCTATTAACACAAAAACAAGTTCATCAAAAAGGTACCTGCTATAATCTCAGAAGCATCTCTGTTATCACTAGTCTTGATGTGATAAATTCGAGTAATAGTCTTGGTTTCCTGATTAGATGCAGCCTCAGACGTACCAGGCCTACCTCCTTTGCCACCTCTGCCCTTCTGAGGTCCTTCTACATACTGATCTCGGTATAGCTCTGGACACTCCCTTTTAAAATGACTAGGTTGTTTGCAATGAAAACATTTTCCCTCAGCAAATCAACACTGACTCGAATACCTCTTCCCACAATTCTCGCGTTTTGGAACAAGACGTACTCTTGAACCTCTGGTACCCGTCGATGTTGTTTGAGTCTACTTGGACTTCCCTCCAGAGAATCCCTTTTTGCCTGTAGATGCTGAGGAGGGAGAATTTTCTATTGGTGACCTTTACTGCGTTCGAAGAAGGGTGCAGAGTAAGAGCTTCCAAATCTTTTACTTGTTTGTGCCTTTTTCGCCTCCTGATCCTTGAGATCAATTTTCTCCATAGCTTTAGCCTTGTTTACTGCTTCCTGAAAGGCAGTAAAATGATGAGAAACTAGGATCCTTTTGTATTGAGGATCCAACCTAGAAATAAATCTGTCAATTCTGACTTTCTTAGTCAGAAGGAACTCCGATAAAAATCGACTCAGTCTGTGGCACTCATAGTCATATTAATAAACTGTTCTGCCAGCCTACTTCAAGTTCAAGAACTGTTGCATCATTTCATTGACAAACACGTCTAAAATGTATTTATTCTTGAATTCACTTAGTAAGAATTCCCACGTGATTTGCTCAAGGGGACTCGTGCGGCGACAATATTCAACCACACACCAGCTTGCTCCATCAATAGAGACACAACTCCTTCTAGTTTTCCCTGATCGTCACAAGGAACCCTGCTCAGCATGTTCTTAACATCATTTAACCAATAATCAGCAGTCATCGAATCATTGTCTATATCACCTTGGAAATCAAGTGCTCTCATTTTCCTCAATTCTTTAGGAATCGATACTGGTGGCCGACGATTGATAATGTTCTCTAGAGCTTGTAAAAACAACCCACGATCTTGAACAGGCATGTCTTGTTGATTCACATTAGGCGGCTCTACATTAGGCTGAGTAAGAGGTAGATTTTGGTTCACCTCATTACTCTCAATTTGTGCAGGGGTAACGCGCTCAGCGGTCCTACTTGATTCTTGATGATCCAACATCTGAACACAGTCAAAATCATCTAACATTAGTAAGGAGCAACTCTACTAAATAACAAGCATAAAAGCATATATACAACCATCAGTAAAATATTGGCATCCTAGTGGCATGTATACATTCTTAACTAAATTTAGACTCATTTACTATCCAGAAACGGCTAAACATGTAGCTTTTATACCTATAAATGTAACACCTACAACCCGTATTCCTAAACCAATACATGTTATAGATGTCACATGAATCATTTAAAAGATTTCCCAATTCAAAAATGGATAAAATTCATTTTTCCAAATTGTAGTTATTATTATAAAATATTAAACCTCATAAAATTATCATATAGTAATCATAATATATATTTATCAAATACGTCCATTTATTAAAGTAATACAGGTTAAACCATCCATGAGGAAAGAAAGTAAAACAGTTTAGTTTAGCCATTACAAACTATATTCAAAATATTCCAACATAACAACTAGGAAATTTATAAGTACATGCCACTAACTAAGTAAAAATCACATCAAATGATGTCTTACTGCTATTGTTTTATACTCATCGATGCTTAATGTTTCTCTGTACTCCTTACTTCTACTCCTGACGTTTACCTACACGTTAAAATCATCACACACTAAGTATATACTTAGTGAGGCAGTCAATAATAATAAACTGTGCAATACATCATTAATATACAACTATATGTCATAATCAATGTAGCATGATGACTTACGTGTATAACCATTTAATTACTATAGTAAACATGATAATGGTGCAATATAAACATTTTCAATAAACCATAGCCTAATATGTAGACTTGAAGGACCTTGGGTACACGAGTCAATATATATACACCGTAGTGCTAACCCGAGTATGACACATAAGGTTGTGTCTGCCATCTGTAGTATACTTAAGTATAGTCCCGAATATGACACATAAGATTGTGCCCACTATATACACTAATTATACTTTAGTGTAATCCAGAATATGCAGCCTGCTGCTGTAATATATGGCATGCTAGCTATACCATTTCCCCCATTAATTCACTAGGGCTTTTAGTCTATTCTTGATTCATCCATAAAAATGTATCAATCTTATTCACAATTTGGGCAGTTCATACCCAAAATAACATTCACAAATATGTATCCATAAGTGATCAATGCATCATGATTCCACACTTTGACATATTAAGGTCATGTTGGTATTATGAAAAATGACATAATATTATGTTGATATAAACAAGGTAGACTCATCTCAAGTCTTCCTGATGATGTATAAAACATCAATGTATAATTTCATAAATGCATTGCACTCACCTTGACACTTTATAATTTTCAAAAGATTTTGCCTCACTATGCTCCAACTTAGTCTTTTTTACTCGATTTGCTTTGAACACAAAGTCAATCAGATCTGTACAAAATCATAAATTCATATCGATTCATATGTTGGTATTGTACTAACATAAATACATTTCCAAAACAAATTCTATAATCATACTTGAAATCTATTCACCACCAAATACTTTAACACTTATTAATTATTTTTAATTTTGGCACCAAATTTTCCAACATATATAAAATGGTCCTTCACCATTTTACCACTTAAACTTTCAATATTAAAATTCCAGCATTAAAATTATTATCAACCAAGTACACATACAAAGGCATAATTACAATAAACACTCCCAAACAATTCAAAATTTGCATTAAAATCACCAAACTTTCCAAACTTCCAAAATGATCAAATTTCACATTCTAACACTCATTTCAATTCCCAAACAGAAATTTCCAGCATAGTATATCAATTATATAATAATTATATAACAATCCATTAATTTTCCAAAATTATTGAATTGGTCCCCTAACTTTTCAAAAATTACCAAATGGTCCCCAATTTTTTATAAGGCTTGTAGAACACTTCCTATATCATTTCCAGCCCTTATATATTTTTTTTTCATAATTTTTCTCATCCAAACAAACCATGGCCAAATATTCTAAAACTCTAAAACTAGGGTTTTCATGATTTTGTTCAATTTTGATTCGATTCAAGCATGAAATCAACTTCCATCCATCCTTATAACATCTCTACAATAAAAGCCCTAATCAAATTTCATCAAAACACAATGTTCTATAACTCCATAATTTGGCTGAAAATCATAGAAGAATTTCTAGTAAGGTTGAACATGTTCTAATCATCATGAATATGAATCTACAACCTCAAAAACATCAAGATTCATCATCAATTTCATAAACCCTAATGTGAACATAAACCCTAGGATTTGGGATCTTTTAAATCAAGTAAGACTAGAAAGCATAAATGGTACCAAAAGACAACGTTTTTCGCGTAGATCGTTTTTTTATTTCACGACATAACTCAAAATTCAAAGGAATTTGCTTAAAAATTGAAATGAACCTTTCTCTCTCATTTGGAGAAGCTCACGGCCTTGGATGAAAAATATGAACAAGGTTGAATGAAATGTTAGGTAAATTTCATCTTAATTTACCTTTAATTTAAACTTAAATGAACATTTTATTCATTTAATTGAGAAAATACCAAATTACCCTTAATGAAACTTCATATTTATCATAAAACCAAGACACTTCAATCTTATCATTTTCCAAAGTCAAAGATGGACAAATTATTTCTATTTTTACCATTTTGCCCTTGTAATTTCCTAAAAATTACAATATTGTCACTTTAATCCAATTATCCAAATTTAACATGAAACTAAATCCTCAAATCCAATGGTTTATATTATTTTCCATCATTTTAAAATGTGGAAATAATATTTTTAAGCCTAATTTATCATCCTTAAATTTTTCTTAATATTTCTATTCGATCCGATTTATCTATTTCTTATAGGACTTTAACCCTTTCTAATTTTCAACATAAATTCAGTATCAAGAATCTAATTTCAATAAAACTCCACTTTCAATAGCAAACTATCCATTTATGGAATAAAAATTTCTTTTGGGAAAATTACCATGTTGGTCCCTAAAATTTTCCAAGTTTTATACTTTGGCCACTAATTTTCAAAAATTATATTTTGGTCACTAATCAAAATTTGGGGTTTTGCACAACAAATTTTGGGATTTCATATCATTTCATATCCATTTAACAATCAAACATTTCCAAATAAAAATCATTTTTATTTCATCATTGTAAAAATCATTACTTGGAGAATTCATGTTCTAAACAATTTACAAAGCCTTTATTTAAGCATTTTGGAAATATCCAATAATTAAGATAAAATCATTATTTAAAAATAGTAAGGCGTTGACTTATCGCAAGTATTCCTTAATCAAAATAAGTAAATAAATAAACTGTACTCACCTTTACCTCAATACCGAACCTTTTATACAATAAGTTTTACTTGCATACTTTTTCCTTCCTTTTCGAATCACTAGGATCACAAGGTTTGTCGTAGACTGTACGACATCACATAAATAGCACAATGTTGAAAATATATGTTAGTATTGTACTAAAATAATCTATATTCAATAATAAAATCCTTAAATTATATTCAATACTTGTTTGATATAAAAATCACTTCACTATTCAATAAAAACTTCAACATTTCTGTAACACCCCAATTATTAAAGCCATATGTATATTGTCCGGTAGTAATAATTAGTTAGGTGTGTTAAGCCCAATGTCCTTTTCGAAAACCTAAGGCCATTAATGTTTGTCGGCCACTTGTTTTGGCCGTAACAATTATGTTTCCTACTTTCAGTTGGTATTTCTATTGTTTTTTTATTATAATCTTGGTGCGCCCAATCAATCATTTAGTAAAGCACAATCATCACGAACAAAGCTTCAACTTCTCTCGTTCATCTAATTAAGAAAAGTATGGCAATCGCAATTTAGATGACTGATTGGAGGTTGCTTTGCTTATCGGGTAAATTAAGTTTTTGAAGAACAAGCAAAGGAAAGACGTACAATTGTTCAGAGAAAAAAGCTTCCTTCAATCTTAGCTTTCCTCACCAACATCCTTACCCAGAATTTGTTGTTCATGATGTTCAAAGGAGATTAAATGTGTTCGTATCAAGAACACAAGCGCTCTCTGTAAGCCAAAAAGATCAATGCCTAACGGGAAACCCCAACGAAGATTACTGGCGGTGCTATCTCGAATGGTACAACAACCGCCAATGCTTAGCTAACTGCTCCATCAGCTTCGAACAAGGAAACCTCTACGGAAAAGGTAGTCGAATTTACAAAGTCATGGATTCCTCTGACAATGACATGGCTAACCCCAAACCGGGGATGCTCTGACACGTTGTCATCCAAGATGAACCCCTCTGGATCATCTTCTCGGCCAACATGGTGATCAAACTCAAACATGAACTCATTTTCAACTATTACAAGGTTATCGACGGGAATGGAGGGGAGGAGAAAAGTGGAGGAATGATGCATAATGTCCATGGCTAACGTGCGTAGAAGAGGAGAGGTGAGAGATGTTTGAATTTTTGTAGCATAATTCGTAGATCAAAATCAATGGAGATTTTGAAAAAAAAAATTAATAAATAATTCTAAATTGTTTCAGAGTGCACATGGCTTTGGAAAGTGAAAAGGGAGTAATGAAAGAATTCACGTGGTTTTGGGGTTGTTATTAAAGTGAGAACGGAAAATTACAAGGTAAGCCATCCAAGTTGTTAAAAGCTCAACCTTGTCTCTTAGATTTCATAGTGTTATGATTATGGCATAATAGTTTTATTAAGATCGATTTAGTCCCTGATTTTACTAATTAAAAATTATATTGACTCCTAAAGTTTTTAGTTTTAACAATTGGGTCTCCAAATTATTAATTGGATTCTAATAAGTTATTTTTAAGGCGAGGAAAATTATTTGAAGTCGTATTTGTACGATAGATTGTACGTGTTCGTTAGAAAAAGATTGGAAGCTAGAGATCAAGTTGGTGAGCTGGAATTCAAGAGTAATATTTTGGGTTTTGTTGATGTCCTAAGTCCGATTCCGAAGTTCGTTTTGCCAAATTTGAACCCGGTAAGCTATTATTCATTGATTTATCACCCGATTCGATCCGTTTTTCGGATTTAAGTTCTGTTTTTTTATGAAATTTATATTTTTATGTATTTGAGGAATTATTGGAAGTTGAATTAATGATTGAGGGCGTTCGAATGGAATTTAAATGGTCGATCAATGTGGCATGAAAATCGAGGTAATACATTAATACATTTTTATGCTTTATGGAACATGTTGGTATTGGTAAATGCATGTATGAAAATGTTTGCTTTTATTTGGATAGTTAATTGATTCCTACACTCGATACGAATACGGGAAAAAGTAGGTAACTGAATATGGCTCAGATGACTCATATAAGAAATTGGAGGACAATTGGAATTAATTACAAGTTCTTGAGTTAAGTGATAAAGGAATCAACCAAGAATATGTAAATTATAATTTATCTCATTAAAGGTATTTGGATGATAAATTATAAGAATATTTCGATTAGGTAAAATTATGAAAATACCCTTATATTGTAAAAACACAAGATTTGACCTTGGAAGTTGGATAAGAAGTTTGTTAAGGAATAATTTACAGTTTAGATATTATCTGGAAAAGCGATTAATCTGAGAAACTCTAAATTATAATTATCATGGTTAAGAGTTTTAATACCAAAATTATCTGGTTATGAAATTACGAAAGAGGTAAAAATAGTCCGTGTTGACCCTGAATGAGCAAGTACTTTGAGGATTCGTACTTAACTCAATAAATTACAAATTTAATTTTTAAGATCATGTCTTTGTATATAAAATTTCTGATATTCCGTTTGTAAAATATAAGAAAGCACTTGACACGAAAATCTCCGAGTTATGAGTAAATACCTGAAGAATAATTTATCGATGGTGCTCTTTTGTCAGAATTGTTTGAAAGGACTGAAGTAAATGATAAGATTAAATTAAATATTAGGACCGGACAAAAAGGAATGATTGAAATACCCTAGATCTGTAAAATGACCAAAATACCTTGTAATGGAAATGACTCAAGAATATCTCCAAGCCCAGGAATGAATGGATATCCTCAAGCTTTGAAATGAATGGAAAAACATTAAGCATCAAAATGACCAAAATGACCTTATAGTCTAGACTAAGTAAATATCTTGGGTTAATTAAGGAATTCAAATAAACAAGGTGTTGTACTACCCTTAAAAGTAATGGAACACAATTTAAGTTAGTAGATTAACCCTAATGCTATGTCAATATCTGAACATAAATATCAGTTGAATGCGTGTTCGTCTTCTCAAGTTTGGATCAATGATAATTCTGGAAGTACTTAGCTCAGCTCAACTCTAGAGCGCATTCGGTTCTAAGAAGTGGATATTCGTGAGACAAATCAACCACGAATACCAGAATGACTTTATTATATGACTAAAGTGAACTCAAAGGAAGTACAATATGTATCCAAAATTCAGAAACGTCTGAATTACTCTAGAAAATTCTAAAGTAACCGAGATAGACTTGATTACTAAATGAACTAAGCAACTATAATGACTGAGGATTAAATAAGTTATTTGGATGAGTCTGGAAACACTGTTTAACTTACATGATGAATTGTCCTTATGGCCCATGAACCATGAATCAAGTACGTCAGTATTTCTTGATATTGTTGAAATATGGAAATAAATAAAGACCATTGGAAGATCTATTCAGCGATGATTACGAAGATGGTTTATGGACAAGAATTGTTAGTATTAAAGAGTGAATACCCTGGAAAGGCAATAAATTGATGGGTCGACATGCATTAGTTCTGAGAGTTGTTCAGTTCAAATTGTTCAATAAACCGATCGATCAACATGGATTATAAATGTCTTGAATCTATGTTTCTCCTTTTTAGCTCAAATCACTCTGGTCATTCCTGAACGCTTTCCTGCTACACATGAAAACATAGTGGAATTCTAAAGTATCAACCTTAAATGTCTAATTAGATTGGTTAATATTCGATTTTCTCAATAGGATCTTGTTCCTGGAATTCGATCAAATTGTACAAGTTTCATGTTATCTATACTGATAACTACAAAATGCCTCTGAAAAATACTTGGATTCTCTAGTGTGTTCCATATATATATATTAATAAATTATTTTATTTTTTTAACATGTGGTACACTGAAATCTATGGTTATTATTTTATGGATGCACTGACTTAATGGTGATGGCTTATGGAATTGTATCACTGTATAAATTGTATCTTGGAGATACAGATTTGTAAAGTACAGCTCTGATCAAGCTGGAATGTTTTAATGGACCTAATGTGACTTTTTGGTAGGCTCTGCGGCCTGAGATCATTATCGGGTAGGCCTTGCGGCCCTAAGATGTGTTCTTAGGTAGGCCCCATGGCCCCAAAACTTTCTTGGGTAGACTCTCAGGCCCTAAGATGTTCTTTTAGGTTAACTCTTTATACAATGGTTTTAAACTACGAGTTTAAAAACTTATACTATAGTATAATTTATGAGATTTACTGAACTATTATTTGATTAGTGTACCTATTATGATTTTATCGTACTGTTGGAACACACTAGACATCCTATTCGATCTTTTGAAAATGTCATACTATGAAATGTTTCCTATGAACTGAGATCTTTATGGCTTCTACTCGATGAACTACTAATGGAACCCCAGATTATCCCGCAAACTGGTATATGTCTGATTCAATAAGGAAATTATATGGCTTCCCATTTATCTGCATGTCATGTAGCATCAACTGGTAGCATTATATTACTGAACTTCCCAAAGCTCACTCTATTACTCACTATTGCAGGTTAAAAGAATCATATCAGTGCATCTATCGACATCAGCAAGGGAGTTTTTTTTCAGCGTTGCTTGCAGAGTATGTTACATGTGATTAGGGGGCATGTAATTGTATTTTGATTTATATACGAGTCTGAAAATCTGGTTTTATCTATGCATACTGATAAATCATTTTATGAGTTACATGTTTTAAATAAAAGATTTAAATTTTTTGAGATTTTTACAGTGGGTCGCTCCGGTGGCCCTAATTTGACACTCCAGATCGGATCGGGTTATTCGTATCGATCTGAGGGGGTTACATTTAGTGGTATCGGAGCTTTTGTTTGAGTCATAATTTTCATAATAGATCGGGCGGTCAAATGTCAAATGTCTGATCAATACATGCCCCTAGATTACAATCATACCTCTTTGAGTAGGAACTCTAAGATCAAGTCACTCTCTGTAACGAGCAAACCTAAGTTTTCTATCTGATAGAACTCTATCATTACATAAAAAATACCAGTAACGTGTGTCTAAATTCTGTAAAGTACCCCATGAGCCATGTGAAAGTTACTCATATGAGAAATTCAGACACGACTCCACAAATGAAATTTGGATATGCTACTGCTTTATGAGCCTATTCTCGTAACCAAGGCTGAATTGATTTCACAAGGTTATTTTTCGTTCTGATTCTTTTATTGGAATGAGAGAGAGTTCTGATAAGAATAAATACTCAATTGGTTAAGGGTTTGGGGAGTATTCGTACTTCTGTAAAAGCTGTTTGAAGATATGAAAGAACTGATAGAAGTTTCATTTCTGCAATTCTGTGACATGAATGAATTTCGAGGACGAAATTCTTTCAAGGAGGGGAGAATTATAACACCCCAATTATTAAAGCCACATGTATATTGGCCGGTAGTGATAATTAGTTAGGTGTGTTAGGCCCAATGTCCTTTTCGGACACCTAAGGCCATTAATGTTTTTCGGCCACCTGTTTTGGTCGTAGCAATTATGTTTCCTACTTTCGGTTAGTATTTCTATTGTTTTTTTATTATAATCTTGGTGCGCCCAATCAATCATCTAGTAAAGCACTATCATCAAAAACAAAGCTTCAACTTCTCTCATGCATCTAATTAAGAAAAGTATGGCAATCGTAATTTAGATGACTGATTGTAGGCTGCTTTGCTTATCGGGTAAATTAAGTTTTTGAAGAACAAGCAAAGGAAAGACTTACAATTGTCCAAAGAAAAGGGTTGCCTTCAATCTTAGCTTTCCTCACCAACATCCTTACCCAGAATCTGTTGTTCATGATGTTCAAAGGAGATTAAATGTGTATGTATCAAGAATAAAAGCGCTTTCTGTAAGCCAAAAAGATCAATGCCTAACGGGAAACCCCATCGACGATTGATAACGGTGCTATCTCGAATGGTACAACCACCACCAATGCTTAGCCGACTGCTCCATCAGCTTCGGACAAGGAAACCTCTGTGGAAAAGGCTATCGAATTTACACAGTCATGGATTACTCTGATAATGACATGGCTAACCCTAAATTGAGCATGCTCTGACGCGCTGTCATCCAAGACGAACCCCTCTGGATCATATTCTCGGCCAACATGGTGATCAAACTCAAACACGAACTCATTTTAATCTCATACAAGGCTGTCGAAGGGAATGGAGCGAAGGAGGAAAGTGGAGGAATGGTGCATAATGTCCATGGCTAACATGCGTAGAAGAGGAGAGGTGAGAGATGTTTGAATTTTTTTAGCATAATTCGTTGATCAAATTTTGAAGACAAATAAATTAATAAATAATTGTAAATTGGTTCAGAGTGCACATGGCTTTGGAAAGTGAAAAGGGAAAGTGATAAGGGAGCAATGAAAGAATTCACGTGGTTTTGGGGTTGTTATTAAAGTGAGAAGGAGAAATTACAAGGTAAGCCATCCAAGTTGTTAAAAGCTCAACCTTGTCTCTTAGATTTCATAGTGTTATGATTATGGCATAATGGGTTTATTAAGATCAATTTAGTCCCTAATTTTAGTAATTAAAAATTATATTAACTCCTAAAGTTTTTAGTTTTAACAATTGGGTCTCCAAATTATTAATTAGATTCTAATAAGTTATTTTTATGGCGAGGAAAATTATTTGAAATTGTATTTGTACGATAGATTGTACATGTTCGTTAGAAAAAGATCGGAAGCTAGAGATCAAGTTGGTGAGCTGGAATTCAAGAGTAATATGTTGGGTTTTGTTGATGTCCTGAGTCTGATTCCGAAGTTCGTCTTGCCAAATTTGAACCCGATAAGCTGTTGTTCACTAATTTATCACCCGATTCGATCCGTTTTTCAGATTTAAGCTCCGTTTTTGATGAAATTTATATTTTTATGTATTTGAGGAATTATTGGAAGTTGAATTATTGATTGAGGGAATTCGAATGGAATTTAAATGGTTGATTAGTATGACATGAAAATCAAGGTGATACATTACTACCTTTTCATGCTTTATGGAACATGTTGGTATTGGTAAATGCATGAATGAAAATGTTTGTTTTATTTGGATAGTTAATTAATTCCTATACTCGATACGAAGACGGTAAAAAGTAGATAACTAAATATGGCTCACATGACTCATATAAGAAATTGGAGGACAGTTGAAATTAAATTACAAGTTCTGGAATTAAGTGATAAAGGAATCAACCATGGATATGTAAATTATAATTTATCTCATTAAAGGTATTTGCATGATAAATTATGAGAATATTTCAATTAGGTAAAATTATAAAAATACACTTATATTGTAAAAAGACAAGAATTGACCTTGGAAGTTCGATACAAAGTTTGTTAAGGAATAATTTACAATTTAGAGATTATCCTGAAAAACGATTAATCCAAGAAACTCTAAATTATAATTATCATGGTTAAGAGTTTTAATATCAAAATTATCTGGTTATGAAATTAGAAAAGTGCCCTTGAGAGGTAAAAATAGTCTGTGTTGACCCTGAATGAGTAAGTACTTTGAGGATTCATATTTAACTCGATAAATTACAAATTTAATTGTTAAGATCATGTCTTTGTACATAAAATTTCTGATATTCCGTTTGTAAAATCTGAGAAAGCACTTGACCTGAAAATCTCCGAGTTATGAGTAAATATTTGAAGAATAATTTATCGATGGTGCTCTTTTGTCAGAATTGTTTGAAAGGACTGAAGTAAATGATAAGATTAAATTAAATATTAAGACCGGACCAAAAAGAATGATTGAAATACCCTAGATTTGTAAAATGACCAAAATACCCCTATAATGGAAATGACTCAAGAATATCTCCAAGCCCAGGAATGAATGGATATCCTCAAGCTTTGAAATGAATGGAAAAACATTAAGAATCAAAATGACCAAAATGCCCTTATGGTCTAGACTAAGTAAATGTATTGGGTTAATTAAGGAATTCAAATAAACATAAGTGTTGTACTACCCTTAAAAGTAATGGAACACAATTTAAGTGAATCGATCAACCCTAATACTATGTCAATATCTGAACATAGATATCAGTTGAATGCGTGTTCGTCTTCTCATGTTTGGATCAGTGATAATTCTAGAAGTACTTAGCTCCGCTCAACTCTAGAGTGCATTCGGTACTAAAAAGTGGATATTCGTGAGACAAATCAACCACGAATACCAGAATAACTTTATTATATGACTAAAGTGAACTGAAAGGAAGTACAATATGTATCTGAAATTCAGAAACATCTGAATTACTCTAGAAAACTCTAAAGTAACCAGGATATACTTGATTGCTAAATGAACTAAGTAACTTTAATGACTGAGGATTAAATAAGTGATTTAGATGAGTCTGGAAACATTGTTGAACTTATATGATGAATTATCCTTATGGGTCATGAACCATGAATCAAGTACGTCCGTATTTCCTAATATCGTTGAAATGTGGAAATGAAATAAATACCATTGGAAGATCTATTCAGTGATGATTACGAAGATGATTTATGGACAAGAATTGTTCGTATTAAAGAGTGAATACCCTAGAAAGGCAATAAATTGACAGGTCGGCATGCATTAGTTCTAAGAGTTGTCCAGTTCGAATTGTTCGATAAACTGATCGATCAACATGGATTGTAAATGTCTTGAATCTCTGTTTATACTTTTTAGCTCAAATCACTCTGGTCATTCCTGAGCGCTTTCCTGATACACATGAAAACATAGTGGAATTCTAAAGTATCAACCTTCAATGTCTGATTAGATCGCTTAGTAATTGATTCTCTTCAATAGGATCTTGTTCCTGGAATCCGATCAAATTGCACAAGTTTCATGTTATCTATACTGATAACTACAAAATGCCTCTAAAAAATACGTGGATTCTCTAGTGTGTTCCATATATATATATTAATAAATTATTTTATTGTTTAAACATGTGGTACACTGAAATCTATGGTTACTGTTTTATGGATTCACTGACTTAATGGTGATGGCTTATGAAATTGTATCACTGTATAAATTGTATCTTGGAGATATAGATTTGTAAAGTACAGCTCTGATCAATCTGGAATGTTTTAATGGACCTAATGTGACTCTTAGGTAGGCTCTGCGGCCTGAGATCATTATCGGGTAGGCCTTGCGGCCCTAAGATGTGTTCTTAGGTAGGCCCCATGGCCCCAAAACTTTCTTGGGTAGACTCTCAGGCCCTAAGATGTTCTTTTAGGTTAACTCTTTATACAATGGTTTTAAACTACGAGTTTAAAAACTTATACTATAGTATAATTTATGAGATTTACTGAACTATTATTTGATTAGTGTACCTATTATGATTTTATCGTACTGTTGGAACACACTAGACATCCTATTCGATCTTCTGAAAATGTCATACTATGAAATGTTTCCTATGAACTGAGATCTTTATGGCTTCTACTCGATGAACTACTAATGGAACCCCAGATTATCCCACAAACTGGTATATGTCTGATTCAATAAGGAAATTATATGGCTTCCCATTTATCTGCATGTCATGTAGCATCAACTGGTAGCATTGTATTACTGAGCTTCCCAAAGCTCACTCTATTACTCATCATTGCAGGTTAAAAGAATCGAATCAGTGCATCTATCGACATCATCGAGGGAGTTTTTTTCCCGCATTGCTTGCAAAGTATGGTACATGTGATTAGGGGGCATGTAATTGCATTTCGTTTTATATACGAGTCTGAAAATCTAGTTTTATCTATGCATACTGATAAATCATTTTATCAGTTACATGTTTTAAATAAAAGATTTAAATTTTTTGAGACTTTTACAGTGGGTCGCTCTAGTGGCCCTAATGTGACACTCCAGATCAGATCGGGATATTCGCATCGGTCTGAAGGGGTTACAATTTCCAACATGAAAATTCAATCCCTTATATTTCCATATTCATCACCAAGCTACTCAACTTTAATAAACTTTACAATTTAGCCACCACTTACGATTTCTTTTAAAATTCATACAAAATTTTCCAATTAATTCAAAATAGTCCTTCACTAGTATATCCAATTCAAATCCAATACTAAAATTTCCAGCATTAAAATAATATATTTAATATACTACAATCACATTTCCAAACTTGTAATTTAACTTCCAAAATTTATAATCATTTCGAATAAACCACTAAACTTAACCAAATTCAAAATTTAGTCCTAAATCATCATTCTAACTTTAAATTCAACATCCTAACATTAATTTCCAATATTAAAATAAAGTATTGAATCTAAACTTCAACATATTCAAGCTTGTAAAACAATCCCCAAACTTTTTAACCCATTCGAATTAATCACTAAACTTTCCCAAATTTGCAAATTGGTTCCAATTCAACATTCCAACTTAAAATTCAAAATTCAAGTAATGATTTCCAGCATAGTACATCCATAATTAAGCAACTATACGTCAATGTCCCTTAATTCCAAAACTTGCAAAATAGTCCCTTTACTATCCCAATGTTCCAAATTGATCCAATTTAATTTCCAAAGCATATAGAATCATTCTAATACCATTTCTAAGCTTAGGTAAAATTTTCAATATTTTTCACTAATTTTTTTCTTCATGGACGAATATAATAAAGTGTATCTAGCTTGATTTTCAAGTTGATTCAAACGTGAATTCATCTTTTAAACGTCATTCCCATGCAATCTCAAATATTTCCATATCATATTCAATCCAAAATCAATCTTTCCTTCAAACTCCAACCTTAGCCAAATCCTTGTACCAGTATTTCCAATTGATTTATTCATCAAACATGTTTGGAAACAACTCAACAACATCTAATAAATCAAAAATCCATCCTTAAATCATTAAAATCCAACTTGTTCTTCATCCACCCTAATAACCAAACTAATGATCCAACCAAAAAATAATGAAATATTTATATCAAATGATGGAAAATTTGATGTAGATTAATTCTCTATTTCGCACCTTAGACCAAAAACCTAACAAAATGACTTAACATGAAGAATAAACTTTTTCTTACCTTAACTATGGAGGCCACGATTTGGAGGAGGAAGGAGAGAAAATTTCTTGATTTTTCCATCAAAATATCATGATACACTTGTCATAAAACTAATTAAAATGAACTAAAAATTCATTTTATGCTAAAAGACTATTTTACCCTCTAAAAATCATGATAATTGTCAAATTACTATATCACTTGTCCATATCATCATTCAAAGTCAAATATGAATAAAATATTCATTCTTTCCAATTTTTCCTTGTAGTTTTCTCAAATTTACAATCTAGTCATTATAATCCAACAATCTCGCTTTAACATGAAAAATCAATTTAAATCCAAAAAAGCCATATTAAATTTCACTATTATAAATTATGGAAATAATATTTCAACCTTTTTCTATCATATTTCAAATTTTTATAAAATTTCGGTAAAATCCGATTATCCGAGCTCTTATGGGACTTTACCGCTTTATAACTTTTAATACAAATCTCGAATCAAAATTATGATACCCACGAAAATGTCAATTTCATAATAAACTAATCATTTACAGGATAAAATTTCTTTTTGGAAAAATTACCACTTTGGTCCCTAAACTTTTCCAAAATTTACACTTTGGCTATTAAACATTCAAAATTTAAATTTTGATCACTAACCAAAATTTGGGATATTACAATTCTCCCCCATAAGAAAATTCATCCTTGAATTTTCAACACGTACTTGATTCAACCTATAAGAGTATCACCTGTCATTTATCTTTCACATTATTGTCTAACTTTCTTAACCTTATGTTTCATTCAAAGAAGTTTAACATA